AAAAAAAAAAAAAAAAATCAAGTAGAGTCTTTCATTTATAGAGTAACATTTTCAAGCTCTTCAATCAAATTTTATTATTCTTTGTCGCTCTTTTAAGATTATTTGGAAAGTCGCGTAAGGCGAACAGAACAATTGGTCTATTATCTAATGGCTGGCAATAATCAAAAGGAAGTCCGTGATCCTTGTCCAACGAATTTTACGCGGATCAGCGATAATTGCTATTATATTAATAGCCATCAGCAGGTGAACTGGAAGACGGCAAACACCGCTTGCAAGGGACTCTCAGCGCACCTGGCTGAATTTGAGAAGGTGTCAGAGAACGAGGAGATCATGGCCTATTTACTTAATCAGCCAACACATCGAGGCCGTGACTATTGGCTAGGTGGTCTCAATCCGGGTCTTTTGTGGATTTGGTCCAATTCCGCCAAGCCCGTCAATCCGAATACCAACCTCACCTCAATTGCAATGTCACAGAAGGCGGAAAATTCAACAGCCTCTAATCTGGTTGACAGCAGCAGCGAGGAGACCAAAGGTGACAGCGATATACTCAACAATACAGTCCAAATAGAGGGCAAGGGACGCTGCTTGCGCCTCAGCTACAACGCGGGCAAACACAGCTATGCATACTATGGACAAGAGTGCACATCCAGGCATTACTATATCTGCGAGTACGAAGACAAGACGCTGGACAATAAAATACAGAAGATAGCGCGGGATCTGAAGCTCTTCGACTAAATCTAAATTGAATCAATAACTTGCAATCGCAATACTGTCTGAGAATAATGTTGAATAACCACTCTTTGAGTTGTTCTCAATTTCAATGATGTATTACTATTTAAAGCCTTAGTCCGAATAGAGACTCTGAACAGGCTTGCGTAGCTATAGTTTAACATAAGCCATCGACAATTGTAAATTTTGAATGAATTTCTTAATTTAACAAAACATATTGTATTCATTATATATTTATACATATATTATATAAATAAAATAATTTATAACACATACTGTTCAAAGGATATACAGTTAAAGTACAAATTAAGGATACTTTGTTTTTGCACAGCAAAGCTTCAAGAAATTAAGGAAATATGTTCAAAACAAAAAATTTCGGCTGAGCCGATCGATAAACTTAATTTGTGCATGCTATAAGCAAAATTGTATACACAGAATAGAGCTGGGAGATCTTAACTAGCAGCCAATAATGACTTAGAGTCGCATTTAGTCGGGATACAAATAATCCTGCAATATGTTCTGGAAGGCTATTTTGATCTTTCCACGATCACGTCCATTCAGCTTCTGAATGTCGGGCAGCAGACTCATTAGAAACATGGCATCCGAATCGGTCTTGCAGTCGCACAGTTCAACCGAACCGGCTGTTGTCACTGCTGTTGATGAATTGCTCAACTCCAGACGCTGCGTTGGAGTCGCCATCTGGTGATGGGTGTGGGCGTGGGTGTGCGGCACATGCATATGACGCTGGCTCAGATAAGCACTGGTAGGAGCGGCCACAGCTGTCAGATTCTCATTATCTGTTGTGGATGCTGCTGTTGCTGCAGTGTTTCCAGCGACCATTGAATTAGCATGCGTTGTGGTGCTCACCATGTCCACGGCCTTGCTGCTGAAGGTTGGTCGTACAAACGAAATATTTGAATGAGTTTGCAAATTTGCAGCACTGACAGATGCCGCCACTGCGGTTGCTGCAGCGGCAGCAGCAACGCCTTGCAGCTCCTGGGAGCGAGAGCGCATTGAACGTGCCTCATCGTGGTAATTCCGTAGCTGTAAGCGATTCATGTGCTGCAGCCGGCTGCTACCGTTGCTGCTGCTACTGCTGCTAGCATGCTGTTGATAATGTTGAGTGTAGCGTTTCTCTAATGTGGATGTAGAACTGGGTGCCGCAGCGGTAGTTGACGCATCGTATGCTAACGAGCGCATTTCATGCTCATCAGGCTCATGATCGTGGTCATCCTCATCTTGATGATGAACGCGCTGCTCTTGCTCGGCTTCGTAGTCATCGACTGGTTCTTCGCACTCTGATTTGATGTCATTGTTGTCGAGCGTATGATTTTGAAAACGTGCCCTGTGCTCCTCATCAATTATTTCGTCAAGCTCCGAGTTGTTGTGGTCGTGCTCATCAAAATAGTCCAAATAATTGTCAAGCGGCTGCTGTTGCGGTGATTGCTGCGCCGAGTGAATAGTTCCATTGGGATTCACTTGCGCCGCATTGCTGGCATTGGTAGAACTTGCCGCTGTACAAGTATTAACCGCTCGCTCGCGCTGCATTCGACTTGAGAGGTTGCTGAGATGGGCCAGTGCATCTTGAACCTGCGTGTCTAACGATTTGGGCTGTTGATGTTTTTTACGCAAATATGGATGCAGAAAAAACATGCGATCAAAGTACGACCAGCATGGCGGAACTTTCTCTTCCAAATAATTGGTGTATTCGCGCCGAAATGAAATGCGCAGATTAGTCCATTTGGCTAAGCTAGCGCCGGGATTTTTCTCCAACTTCAGATCAACTTCACGCCAAAAGTTCTCCACGTACGGCCGGCAAAAGTAATATTTATGTCTCGGATTATAAATGGCCTCATCGCGTTGCACAATATCGATCAGCTTAAAGACCTCCTCGGTCAACCAGCGTGAGGAGCTCGCTGCACTTGCTGCACATGTGTTTGTTGAGACGAATTGGCTGGCGCTATAATCGCTCGCCATGTTAGACACTCCCTATGTGCAAACAGGGTCTATATACTGCTTACATTTAATGAATTGCAATTTTCCTCAAGTTTTATTGAGCTAATTTTTCGCAAAACATTTAATTGTTTTCACAGTTGCAAGTGAATGGCAAAACAGCTGCTGTCAACAGCGGTTCAGCTATCGATATTATATCTGTAGTATTTTGTTTTATCGCAGTTGGTATTATCAAAATATTAGTATCTAGTATATCAATAATAATATTATTAGTTACTATTAAATTAAATTAAGAGTGGCATATTTTTATAAAAGCATGGCTAAAACAGTTAACATTCTGTGAAAAATGTTGTAGAATATACTTATATTTTACTTATCAGTCATAGGGTGCAATGAAAATTCATTATAATTAATAACAATAATTCAGGAGGGAATTTAAACCTTTCAATTTGAGCACTCATTGAAAATCGAAATCATAATTCGAAAAACGGAGCTTTGCGCAGATCTGCAGTGTTGCATTATCCAGTTATCCAAGTTATTTACATATATCGATATCGATATTACCCAATGTGTATGTGGTGCGAGTGTTTTCGTTTTCTTTGCCCGTATTTGTTGTTAAATAAAAAAAGCTTGTGCCGAAGTCGCTTTCACACAAAGTGTAACAGTTAAATGGTTAAAATTGCACAGTAATAAACATTTAATTACTGCTTTTGCCTGGTACTTAAAACATTTGGTTAAGGTGGCACCAACACATAAAACTCGGCCAGACATTCATACTGCGCCGCCTCAAAGTGGAGAGCAGGCAAATTGAACAAATTGTTGTTTGTATAAAGAATATTGATATAAAGGCCATAGTAGATTAATGCGTTACCGTTACCGTTACCGGCGACATCGATATGGCAGTCAAGGTGCAGTTCGAAATTGGTCACACATCAAAGCTGCGCAACAAAAAACATCCGCTGGGCTTCACCCATGACTGGGAGATTTATGTGCAGGGCGTAAATAAGGCAGAAATAAGTGCATTCGTTGACAAGGTCGTCTTTATACTGCATAACTCTTTTCCCAAGCCAAAGCGTGGTAAGACTTAATATTTATATTGTTTTCAATTTGCGCGCCAAAATATCAATTATCTCTTTTTAGTGATCAAAGAGCCACCTTATGTCATACAGGAATCAGGCTATGCCGGCTTTATACTGCCCGTCGAAATATATTTTCGCAATAGAGACGAGCCAAAGCGCATTATGTACCAATATGATTTAGATCTGCAAAATTCCGGTCCACCTCGTCATCGTGTTGAAGTCAAAACTCATGTTTTTGAGGCTCCTTCAGAGGAGTTTCGCGCAAAATTGTTGCGTGGAGGCGGAGTGCCGGTGTTTGGTGCAAACGTTGCTGCCGCAAGCACTCTGAATCGAACGGTGTCACCTAGTGAACCACCAGGATCAGATTTAAACGTAGTCAAAGCGAAGGGTGGTAGCAGCAGCAGTATGGTAATCGAGTCGGGTTCCACTAAGAAACACAAGTCGCGTACCGATGAGGGCAAGGCTAGCACATTCTCAGCACTGTTTGGCTCGCCCATTACAAAAGGCAGTGCGTCTAGCGCTAATCTACCGGCAATAAGTGCATCCAAACACTCACCAGATGCTAAGGCACAAACGGGCTCTAGTGGCGGCAAGGTCGGTGCTCACGATAGTAAAGATAAGTCAAGTAAGGAGCGCGACAAGTCAAACAGTTCGGACAAACCACGTGACAAGGACAAAAAAGATCGACATGGTCGCGACAAAGAACGAAAATCCGGCAAATCCGAGAGCAGCAGCAGCAAACACGACAAAGACAAGGAGAAATCCAAAAAGGATAAATCCCGCGACAAGGATCGCGAACGAGAACGTAGTAGCAGCAGCACGCTTACTGCAGCTGCTAGTGCACTAGTCCGTCGCACTGTCAGCCCTAAGGCCGGTAGTAGAAGCGGCCTAGCCGAAATGAGTCCTAAAAAGCCCACGGACAGTGCATCTGGTACACCGAATGCCCGTTCCAAAGAACGTGACGAGCACAAGTCCACTGGGAAGTCTGAGTCAAAGGACAAAGAGCGCAGCTCAAACAAAAAGTCGAAAAAGGAGAAAAAAGACAAGGAACGTGAACGGGAAAGGGAAAAACAGCGGGAGGAGCGGGAAAAGGATAAGCGGTCGCTAAAGGACGAGCGTGGACACGGCGACAGTCCGGCCACTGGCAGTAGCAATAACATCCAAGCACAACAGGCACAGTCGCAACAATCTCAAGCCAGCTATGATTCTATGAAGGCCACCGGCAAAGGCACACCCAATTCGTTGGGCAGCAGCGCAAGTACTAGTAGTATGGCCTCTAGCATTGGTAAACGAACTTATGACAAGGATGAGCTGACGGTGCCGGCGCAAAAATCACCTGCTGCAACAACAAAGGTCGCCGAAAAAGTCGCCGAAGGCAAAAACGAGAAATCAACGAGCAGCAATAGCAATGGCACCGCGGACAAGAAATCGCACAAGCACAAGAAGAAGGATAAGAGCAAAGACAAAGAAAAGGATAAGGAGAAAGACAAGGATCGCAGCGAGCGCGATAAGGATAAAGATAAGGAGCGCGACAAGGACAAGCCCAAGGATCGCGAGAAGGATAAGTCACAGCAGCAACAGCCAAATGCATCGGATAAGTCGACAATAGTAGCAACAGCAGCGGCTGCAGGAACTACTGAAGCATCTCCGAAGACAGAACTGAGTGGTCAGCAGCAGGCTGAACCCAGCGTTGACAAATCAGCGTCGGTGACCAGCAAGAAAGAGAAACACAAAAAATCGAAAGATAAAACCGGCAGCAAAGAAGAGAAACGACAACGTGAGGCTGACAGTAAGCATAGCAATAAGCAGGGGTCGACACCCACATCTGGCTCAACAGCTGGAGCGGCACACACGCCAATTAAGGGATCAAGCAATTTGGATTTGAGTGACATGGACTCGGCACAGTCGGCTCCAGACTTGGCAGCCACCAGTGCCTTGGCGGCGGCAACAGCTGCAACACTGCAGCACTCAGACAGCTCAAACAGTAGCTTTCCTGATTTGCCAGCGAAGAGCAGTCAACAGAAGAGCTCAATGGGTGCGAAAAGCGGCCAGAATAGTGCAAAGGATACCAAAGCGACGGATAACGGGGGAAAAGAGCAAAAAGTCAAGTCAAAGCTAGCCGAAAAGTCAGAGAAGGCAGAAAAAATGGACAAGTCACCGGACGCCAAGGCAGAGAAGGTTGAAAAGGCGGAGCTTAAAGATGAAAAGAAACGCAATCGACGTAACTCACAAAACAGCAATAGCGGCAATAACAGCACCACCTTCATTGAGCCAGCACTGAAGTCAACAAAGAAAGAGCAGGCAGCAAGTAAATCTGCGCGCGAGAAGTCTAAGTCGCCGTCCCTGCGACAAGGGACAGCTGCAGCAGCAGCTGCAGCGTCAGCCAGCAGCAATAGCATCAACTCCTCGCCGAGTAGCCACAACAACAGCAACACTTGTCCAGCTATAAACAACAGCAATAGCAATAATAGCAGTCATTCACCTGCGGACACACTGAATCAACCGATGAGTGGAGCCGGCAACAGCACGCCTCTGCCCACAGAATATCTGAGCGAACTTCAGGAGCTGCATCACAAGATAATGACGTTGCAGGACAACGAAGAGCTGCAGCAGGTTGTCGAAATGATCGCTGCCACCGGCTGCTACGAGATCACGCACAAAACCTTTGACTTTGATCTATGCAAATTGGATCGGGGCACCGTGCAGCGGCTCCAAGAGTTCCTGGCGACGTCCGTATCGTGACACAAAATGGGATCAACGGGCACATCAGCGGCCACAGCAGCTTATAGCTAAGCAAGATGTACATTCATCATCTCTCATGCACTTAACCAAATAATCATTACAATTACAATTAGTTAAAGCAACAGAAATGCAATACGAATGTCCCTAAATTTTAGACACACCCCAAGTTCTATTGGCTACGTGTATATTGGTATTACGTTTTTCATGGCCATTTTTCTGGTTAGCTTATAAGTTTTTGATGAGTGCGGGTATTTCAAAAGCCTATGCCGTAAAGTATGCGATACTTTTTAAGCACACACAGACACACACACATACAGATAGACCCCACCCTTATAGTGCAAGGCTATCTTTTTAGAAATACTATATACAAAATTAATTTAGCAATCATAACTATAATGTCCCGTTTCCATCTTAATGTAGATTATCTTATTACCCTAGTTTCCTATTTGTTTATACCATGATGCTATTTCTTTTTCAATAAATATTTATTGATATATTTTTTTTTTGTATTTTTCTACAAATAAATTATTATTTCTAACATGTTTTTAAAACGCATGTGCAGTAAAATAAAAAACTTTTTTTTTTCAATAATAATAAAAGTATTGAGAAACGAATGAGAAGGCTCAATCCGTAGCAGTCAACCCAAAGTTAATATTCGTACTGTGTGCGATAAATAATTTATAGTTACTTATATAAATATAAGTATGCATATATWAATAAAATATAAAGGTTAAACATATATATATATATATACATATACACATATATTTATATACACAATGCAATACATTTTAACAGACCAGAAAATCGAACGTGCCATTGAAAATATTGACAACATAAAGAAACGTACAAGTGTTATTATAGCCCATTACTCTGACAACCCGTTTAAATATGGTTAACATGTTTCGTATTTGTTTGCCGATCTACCAAATAAATATATATATCTGCCTGTTAGGGTTTAATTCCAGGCGAGTGCAAGTTACAAATATCAATTCTTTTGCTAGTTATGTGCGGTTGGTTATTTACAAATACAATATTATTGAAAGATCCGTTCATCTGTATAAAGCAATACTTAATGCAATGCGGTTACGAATTTATGCATTTGTAATTAACGTAGTACGTATATGAATATAAGTGAATAGGCATGGTTTAAGAGAATATTCAAATAAAAATATAAACACAAAATACAAATTAATAAATACCTCTATAAAAATAATGACTGTATTTTTCAATATCAAAATATCTTAGACTGGATTAATTAAGGAACTATGCACAATGAGAGAGCTTCAAACGTAAAACATAAATTTTTGTGACAAGTGCTAAGTCTTTGGCACATGAATACAAACAAAATTTTTGTATTCTATATTAAGAGAGCTAATTTTAAATTGAATACGGCTTGTTATGCATTGACTAGGTCGGTCTTTAGTCTCTACAGTAGCAAAATTTGCGCAGCTCCGGATCACGCTCGTAAATACATCTCGCTTGCGATCCGTATTTGTTGACACGCGATATATCCGAGAGTTTGGCTGTGCATTCGAATGTCTGCAAATTGTAGGCCACACTCGCCTCATACAGCGCCTGGCCTGGTTGGGTAACAAGTTGCAGCTGATAGAACACCTCGTTCACTACGGTGTGACCGCTCATGTCGGCCAGAAAGCCGTCTTTGTCACTATTCGTTTTAAATTGCAAAAGTTCTTTGCGTGGCAGCAGTCGCAGCGCCCAGTTGACTTTCAGCAATTGCAGTGGTGCACAAAACTGACGCCTCTCAAGGGTTGCTGCATTGATTGTTTCTACTATGCTGTTGGCAGCTTTGAGAATAATGCCCTCATAACGGGTGTCGTTCAGCTCCAGTGGCTGCCAGTTAAGGCAGGCACACCAATGTGGTTCAATGTATGCATCCGCACATGATCGATTGCTAGGTATGCGCTCAAATAACGATATGGAACGTCCTCGCGCTTGTTCCGAGATGTGTATATTCTGACTAGTTTCCGTGTGGATATCATTGCTGAAGACATCGTAACTGCTGTCAGGCGTCTGGTAATTCAGCCCTGCTGATTGCATCTCTACGAACATAAAAGTTCATTACATTTTATAGAATAGGTTCAATTTCTAAAAAAACTTACGTATCAGATGCTTGAGAGTGGCATGCACATCGAAGGGCGTGACGAGGCGGTGCTCGTTTGCCAAAAAATTATTATACGCTTGTGGAAAGCGCTTCTTAAATGATTCGGGAAATGTAAAACTAAAGAAGGGTAGACGTTCCTCCTGTTTGCCTTGAAGAGTGGCGCGCACTTCTGCAAATCGGTTGCCATGATCAGCCATGAATATTAGGATAGTATCATCGAGCAGGGACTTCTCCTTGAGTGTCACCAGCCAATCGTGCACATCGTCGTCGGCAGCGCCGATAAGATTAATAGAATCGTGAGAGAGACCACCATGAAAGCTGAACACAAAGCGCGGAGAGTCACGATACTTTAGCATAAACTGTAAAACGAAAACGCCCCTTTAAGTGAATTATAATTGCATGAAGTTATATCTAAGAGACTCACATTTTTTGTATAGTCCAGCATGACAAGATGATCTGGCTGGGCACCAATACAGTTGGGCGCACTGCCACTCAGCATGTTCGAAGCTTGCATATAATATGTGCGCAAATAGTGATCCACGGGCTGGGATTCGAAGCCGTTCATGCGATATGTGAACGTGCCCACATATGGCAAGTCCTCATTGAATGAGGTCAAATAGCCGAGTCGCCTAAAATCCTGCCAAATCATGGGATATGCATCAACACTTCCTGAGCTGGAGATCCGTTTTCTTGTCTCCGGCAGCTCTAGTTCCGTGTAACCCGTGAGCAGAGGCACCAACGCCTGTGGAGTGCCATCGCCAACAATATTATAGCCTTGCAGTACAATGGCGCCTAGCTGTTGAGTTAAATAGGCATAGGTGCGCGGTAGCTTACGAATGAATGCGTTGCGGCTCAGGGAATCGAAACCAAACATCAATACATTGTAAAAGGGACTCGTCGGCACCTCCTGCAGCTGCGGTTGTTGTTGGGAATTGGCAATAACAATTTCAGCAGGTAATACAGCCACATTAGGTACTACGGGTCGTTGCACAGTGTCCCGTATTCCAAATGCCATGCCAAACCACTTCTCACCGCTGGACGCATGACAGGCAACACGAACAAAATCGCTATTTTGCAGTACATAGGGCTCCTTGATTCTATTTGTCCGTCCAAAGCGCGCAGTGTAGTCCGATTTGCGTATAATATCCGTGTACGAGCATGTTATATCGCCATGCACTGCCGTTATCTCGGGTTTCACAAAGCATATCGATTTCTACGGAATAATCGAATTTTTAAACATACACCAATTAAATTCGTTATAGTCAATCAGTAATTTTTTAAATACAAATCATTAAAAACAATTTCGGACTTTCATTGTAGATGATAACATGAAAAAGTCTCGAGGAGAAAATATCAACAATGCAAATATATACTCAAGTGCAATCAGTATTTACCTCACACATAACCCAATCCGGGCTTGTCCCGCAGTTTATTTTATCAACCGGCTTGTAGAATTTCATTATGTCGGGATTTTCCAGTGGCAAATGGGGTTGGCGACATTCCCCCTGATTCATGACAGATCGTATCGATCGCTCAATTATTTGACTGCAATGTTTCGCAAAGTTGAATAAACAACAAACGTAAATAAAGTGTAAGATATATGTTTTTCTGTATACATATGCATACATATGTATATTCATATACTTACATTTTAATGCTTTTATCTACATCCTCCGGCTCAGAGTTAAGCAACAGAAATGTGACGAACGTGACTAAAATTGTGCAAATTAGCACCAGCTTAACTACACCGCGACGTACAAAGCGCATTTTTATAATAGCAAAACAAATTAATTATTTTAAAAGAATTCGATAAGTATATTGCTCGGCAATATGCTGTATATAGCTACATCCTAAACTGGCACAGTTCGCTGATCGAAGCACTTTTAAGTGCAGATATGTCAAAGATTGTCTGCTGCATCAGTATTAATTGCTTTTTACTTTTTGCATTCTCTCCCAAGCCGAATTTTTGTTTAACCCCGCGTTATGGTGCCGAGCTGTCACACGATATCAAAAACTGTGAGACCAGATGGTTGAATTGATTTTTTATTTTCTTAGTATTTTTAAATGCATTCCATTTTAATAACGTATTTTTATATCTTATTGTTAGGTCTGGCAGCGCTTTTATTCAAAATATCAAAATTATATTCTAATAATAAAAATTAGGTATAGTTATTTTATATAAAAGCAATATAATTGAAATTAGAAAAATAACATTTTGTAAAAAAATTATATGCTTACTTTTTAACCAAATTATAATTATTATTTCAGTTTAAACTTCAACCTTCAATACTTCATTAGACTTAACCATTACAGTAATATCTCAACAGTATAAATTATTTTCCTAAGCCCTTACGTATTTTTTGAACAAGTAATCAAGTATTGAACAACAACGACTATAAAGTAAATAGTGCCTATCACAATAAAATAAAATGCATAGACAGTGAACTGTTCAAACGTGTTCAACTGAAGATTCGCACTCTCAGAGACGACGATAAGAGTAAGTATAGTTTGTAATAACAGTGCAATAAGTGTGTTAATGCCAAAAATCAAAGCGAAACTATCCTCAACCATACTTTTGGCCAGCTCGGCGCTGCAATATGTGAACAAATTTACTTTTAACAAATAAAATGTTATCTGTTAACTTACCTGGCCACCGTTATAATAAATCCAAATACTCCCCCAAATAGCACATAACCCAGATATGATAAGTATATATTTGAAGTCCAGGATGCTAGTAATATGCAGCCACCTTCCAGAATCGCAAGCACAGCTACCGATAAAAGGCTGGCACGAGTTTTTAAACGTCCCGCGTGCAAATATCCCGCCATTAGAGAGAAGAGGGCAGCTAGTGCAGTTAGGGCGGCATCTACGCCCCCATTCCATACAATCTAAGAAACTGTGAGTAATAACAAAATAAATTTGTTTGTCTTTTTACTTACTTTTGGCTCGTTTTCAAATGATTTCCAAAGAACTTGAATGTAAGTTGCGACTTGCAAATTGCCAGCCAAACTAACCGCATACCACAAGCTCCACTGGAGGACCATGCCATTTGTGTATGCAATGTGGAAGTGCGCCCACAACAGTTGCAATGGTTGAGCATGGTCCTTCTTGGCAACGGAGATCTCATTAAATTGCTCATTGGAAACACCTTGAGGCTGCTCAGGCGCATCTTCCTTATCAACGGGTCCACTGACTGCCACTTGTTGATGGAAATACAAGCTCTGCTCCACTTTGGGCAATAAGACGGTCCATAGGAGGGCGAAGACCTGGGCTGTGTGATACAACATGATATGATCGTATTTTATAATATATGTATACTTGAGTCATACTAACAGCCTACAGATATGTACATCAACTGCTGGTAGTTCATCCAATCAAAACCGATGAGCAATTGGGCAATTAGTCCGGCCACAAGTTTTCCCACAAACATGGCCGCTCGTGTATGGGATGTAACACGAGGATAATACTTTTTATCGACCTTCGCATATATATAGGAATAATATGCCACTTCAGTGGCCTGATAGAAACCATAGAATACTTCACTGATCTGTAGACCAAACAGTGTGCTCGTAGTTAGCAGCACAGTCCAAACAATGATCCCAGTCAGAGCGTTGGCAATAATCATGGGCTTGTATCTATGTATAGGGTATTTGAATTGAAAATGTATGTGTGTATGAGTATGTGAGTGCATATTACCTAAGATAATCGGTGACCAGAAAAACAACAATCAGCAGAGCTAAATAGGAGTAGGTCCCAATGGGGTAGACACTCCGATTCACTTGATCCTGTGTCACATTATACCACTCGCCCAGTAAAATTTCCGAGTGGTAGGGCTCCGAGGGGCGCAGCTCGCGTAAAAATCCGAACACACAAAGCACTCCAGATATTCTCAGCCAAGAATGCTCCATGGCTAGTGCGAGTGCCTGCTCAACACAATCTAATCAACGAGTTGGTCAAACTCGACTAACGAGCTGCAACTTGAGTAATCGGACGTAGCATACAAATAATTAAAATAATTACACATTTTTTTTATAGGGTTATAAGTGAAGCAACACAACCACATAGGTGTCTATATACCTAACTATATATATTTATTGTAATCAGCACTGTAGTCCACAGACGAACGTACCAGACGGGAAATGCGAAATTTTTCCCTAATCACAGGTACAATCTTTAGAATACAGCTGCAGCTAACTAGTTGTAAAATTCACACAGTAAAAAATCTATGCATTCGTTATAAATAAGTTTAAATCGCGTTTAAGATTACCGTGCAGGCAATTTTATAAGTTTCAATTATTTAATACAACAATGGTAGGGGGGCTTTTAACAGTGATTATAAAACATGAGTGTTCCAGTCTGAATATCACGAATACACGAATACAATAATACACTATTCGAGCTGCTTAAAGCAATCTCACTTATGCATCAATACCTATCTATTAATGTATATATGGATGTAATTATCTCTTCAATATTTAGGTCCTGGAATTAATGGATACGGTATATATTCTGAACTACTTGAGCAAGTCCGATCTTTGTATCTCAAAGAGCAACATAAGTGTAACATTGCATATCTTTAGTTCTAATAGATTTTATTATCCAGATATGTATACCTTATTAAATTGTGGGATTTTGGTGTAAAAACGCGGTTTTCAATGAATGTTACTACGTAACATACTCATCATACCTCGAATTTCCCAGTATAATACGCTAAGGGTATAATGAGATAATACGAGGCGAAAGGTTAATTGTTCTTGTTAGTAAGGGAGTTAAGTAGTAAAGGATGTAAACACTTAAGTCGTAAAGTTTATTATATTCTTTCATTGTTCAGTGAAACAGCTATTAAGTAGACGAAACTGTTTTGTATTGCAATTATAAAATATTTATTATATTCACTTGTCTATTTGTTATATTCAAGCTTTAAAAAATAACAGGTTTAAAAATATTTTGATAAAGTAGGGCTTTCAATCCATCTAAATCAAAAATGTAAACTTCAATCGAAACAAAAAATATATTTATATACTTTACTATTCAATCTCATTAAGAAGTTAAGAAGCGTCAAAAAGCTTTCTTCCGCTTTACTTCGGTTCCTTTATCATATTACACCCAAGATCCATTGATATTGGTAAATTATTTGATATAATAAATGTCAATATAATTTCTTAAACAGGATTCTCATGAGCAAAAACACAATAAATTAACCAATTCCAAAAGTATTTTAAGTACTTCATTTATTTTTGCAATTTATATAAACATTTTTATTACTATGTACAACTAATTGATATCAGTAAATTGAAGTACAATTGGCTGCGAAATGGTAAACTACAAATATATTTATCTAAAAGAAAATAAACTTTTCTTAACTTTCAACGATTTTTGAAATAATTAATTTTAAAAACCTAAGAGCATTTCAATGAATAACTCGAATACTATGGTACATTATAAAAAGAAACCATTCCATAAAATAGTATTTACCATGAAATTTATAATTTCATGTTATTGAAGGAATGCTAAATGAAATTTACGAAAAATATATGTAAAAAGGCTAATTTGTTTAAATAAAATATTTAAGGGCGATCAAAACGACCTATTCTAAACATTCACTTTTTGCGTGGACCTGTTTGGATCCGCGTTGCCATAGATGCTCAACCAAGACGGAGATAAAGTATATGAGGGCCACAGCTATGAAATAGAAAGCATAGACGGCATATTGGTCCACGGGGCTGAGCTCAAAGCCCGTCTCGGAGACGACAATAATGGTGAGCAGCGACTGGAAGACTAACGCCAGCAACGTATTAATACCAAAGACCAGACCAAAGCTTTCCTCCTGCAGATTGCGAGCCACCTCCGCACTGTAGGAATGAATTTCAATTCATTAAAATCATAAGAATTACAGATAGATGTAGACGCACCTGGCCACAGTGATGGTAAAGCCGTAGAGGGCACCAAAGATGACAAAACCCACATAGGACCAATAGATGTCGTTAGTCCAGCAGCAGATTAGAACGCTGCCGCCCTCCAGCGCCGATAGCACTGATAACACTAGTAAAGTGGTCTTTGGCCTCAAGCGACCGCTGTGCAAGTATCCAGCTGCCAGAGCACTTAATGCTGCCAAGGCAGTCAGCACTGCATCCACGGCACCGTTCCAGGCAATCTGCGGCTCGGGCTCGATAACCTTCCAAAGCACCTGCATATAGTAGGTAACTTGCAGATAGCCAGCCAAGCCAATGGCGTACCAGAGACTCCACTGTATCACACGCGGATTTGTGTAGGCATTGTGAAAGTGCTGCCACAGCAGATGCATGGGAGCAGATTCCACCTGCGGACTCCTTATCTGTTGGCTAACAGCATCGGGCTCCATCTGCAACTGGTTTGCTGATGGTGGCGCTGTCGACGACTCCTCTAAGACCTCGCGATGAAAATAAAGACTCTTATCAACTTTTGGCAGTCCGAATGCCCAGAGCATAGCCAATATTTGCGCTGTATTTAAAAATCGATATTCCTTAATTATTTTATCTTATTTAATCTTGTAATACACTTACTGGCCAGCGTTATGTAGTTGAGTTGTCTATAGTTCATCAGCTCTAGATTGATCATCAGCTGCGATGTTATCCCTGAGATCAGCTTACCAGCGAACATCGCTGCACGCGTGTGGGAAGTGACACGTGGATAATACTTTTTGTCCACCTTGGCATAAATGTACGTATAGTAGGCCACCTCGGCGGCCATATACGTGCCATAGAAAAACTCCAATATTTGCAATGATAGCAAGCTGGTTGTCCATATGAGCATGCTCCATATTATTACGCCAGCTGCACCTATAGTAATTATCAACGGTTTATAGCTGCAAGGTAGAGGAAATATAAAACGTGAAGAATTGGAATTGTGAAATTGAGAATAAAATAAATATTTTAAACATTATTGCATTGTTTATGGCTTATAATAGCAAAAAGTGCGTGCACTTGTTGATCGTATAAGATTGATATACGTACATATTTATGTATAACGTAAAACATATTTTGTAAACAAAATTATCATATAGCAATATTCTTTTCTTCTATTGAATTTACGATAGATCTAATATGAATAAACTTATAGCATATATGACAAGATGCAGCATCTGCATATTGAATATTGATTAAAAATCAAAAGTAATACATATACACACATACATACATATATGTCTTATTTTTAGAAAAATATGAATAAATAAACTTATTTGTAAATACATTTTATTCAATTATATAAAAACTTACCGTAAAAAGTCAGTTATAAGGAACACAAAAACCAATTGAACCAGATGCGAATAGGTGCCCACCGGATAAACATCTTGAATAAGCTGTGAATTAGGAACATTCTTGCTGTATAATCAATTCGAAATTGATTAAGCAAAAAACCCACCTGTTGCTCCGTTATGTTGCGCCATGGACCGAGAAGATATTCCGTTACGTACGGCTCCGAGGGTCGAATTTCTCGTACAAAACCAAATACGCAAAGCAAGCAGGAGATTTTTAGCCATTCCTTCATATCTTTATTGTTCAACGTAACGTAACGTAATGCGCAGCAATTTAACGGTCAGGCAACACGTAAGTATTATGCGGTAGTGTATTTATATTCGAATCATTCACAGCTCGCAACGTTTGATTTCACGGAGTTTGGAGTGTGTATTTCTTTCATGCTTTTTACAGTTGTTTAATTTTAGAATCTCGAAGTGCGCTTCTTGGAACTGATGACCTGCAGACAAGTCGGTAGTCTTTTAATCTAATCGTTGACTTGGTTTATAAAGATGGCATTATCTCGCATTAATGCTAGCACACTGATTGTTTTGTTTTTGTTTTTTCTTTTTTCTTTATTGTAGTACGATTGTTAGATAATTGCAAATTTATAAGCTATAAAACGCAGCGTACGTTGTGTTCACATTGACGTTCTGCGACCAATTTGCCGGCTTTCGTTACGAGAGTAAGCAAAATGTTGTTGTCAAATGTCAGCGAAACACACAAAAATAAGAGCATATGTATGTATGTATTTATATACATAAGTGAGTGTACACAGCTGGTCAGCCTGAATCCGGGATACCCTACATTAGTTGCAGCCGCTGCACGTACAATATACACACACAGTAAAATAAGAATGTTATCGACGCCACTGGTTGATTTAATTGATTTATAGACAACAGCAATTCGTTCCAATTTATTTGGGCTTGTTGTTGTCCGCAGAGAATGTATTTGGATTTCATATAGTTGACGATTGTTACATTAGAAATGAATATGCACGTGCAAGAGACAGCTGTGCGCAGTATTTGGTTGGCAACGCGATGTGAAAAACAGCTGTTCGCACCTCATCTGTGATTGGCGCTCAGGCTCAAACAAGATAACCAATTCCAACTGCGACAATAACAACGGTAAATTATACACAGTTTTGTTTGTATATTGTAAAAAATACACGTTTATTAGCGCGCACATTTTAAAAGTATTTATATGTATCTGTGTGTGTGTGTAAGTGWTACAAAGTATTTATATGTGAAAATGTATAACAAGTAAAAGAGAAAGATTTAGCTATTTACACAAACAGACGGGAATATGTTATTCATAGCTTTGCTTCATGAAAATAATTCTTATAAACAGCTGCCCATTTATCAATACAATACAATATATCAATGAACTATACTAAGAATTATTGGCCACATTTACGGAAAGTTAGAAAATACGTGTAAAAACTCTTAACAGCAACATTGAGGTTAGACTCTTTCGCACTTGTTTCGCATTCGTTGATTGTTCCATTCCACTCGTTCCTTCTAGTCACTTTCATTCTCATTGTTGCGCAATGGGTGTACCCTGGGGGCTCAAGGCTTGCGCCGACGTCGCCGTCAACGGGTTTGGCTCTGATTGGACAAACTCAATGGACGCTGAATTGATGCAGTAACGCTTGCGTGTGGGCTTTGGTCCATCCTCGAAAACGTGTCCCATGTGTGCATTGCAGCGGGCGCATCGTACTTCGGTGCGTATACGTTCTGGATGTGCAATTAGTAGTAAAATATTGCCCCCTTTTTAATTTGTATTTTGCAAATGTGAGATTAATTGGGTACGTTCATTCATTTTTTTTTGTTTTTGGTTTTGTTTGCATAGATCGGGTTACGTTCCCATTGTTGGTTGTTTGTTTTTACAATAATTGATAATTGCATTTCATTGAATTTGTTCAGTTTGTTAAATTTGGTTTATAACAAAATTGAAAAGAATACAAAATTAATTGGAAAATAGGAGATGTGAAAAGCAGAGAGACAGTGAATGAGAGGCCGGTTCAGTGAGAGTGAAAGGCGTCGATTCAAGCGATAAGAGCAATAGAAACAGAAAAAGTAACGGCGAAAGTATATTTGTGCGAAAGAGACAGGAGAAAAATGAGCACAGATGACAATTTAGAATTGCGAGTGCATCAAAAGAGACGATAAGCGAAGGTAGGTAGTCGAGAGAAAATAACAGTGGACGGCGTCGATTGAAATATGAAATGTAGCGTAAAAGTAAATACAAATCAAATTAAATGTGTTGGTTTTTATTATTATGAATGATTTAGTGTGTTTAAATTGATTGTTAATAAGCCATTTTATGCGTCAGGTGTAATGCATTGTAGATTAACAATGATTTTAAGTGAATGTGTGGTCGTGTGTGTATGTTTTGTTAGCAAAACAGACCCCCAAAGAACGTTTACAGGCGGAACATTAAGTTTTAATATTGTTTTTTGTTTTGTTTGTTTTGTTTTTGTTTTTCGAAGCGAGTTAAAAAAAGAGAAATAGAAAATATACGAAAAATACACATTATTCAATTTGTTGTATATATATGGATCGTCTACAATAGTCTTGCAGTGTATTACATCAAATATAAATATAATATGAGTAAAAATAGCAACAAAAAATAATAAAAATATCAAAGAAAACCAAATCAAATATGTTACAGATGAACCAAGAGAAACCAAGCAATGCGACCAGATCTTCCAACCAACTTTGATGCATAGATACATCCATATGTACATATAATCAAAATATATAAATATATACATGTAGGTAAAATACTCCTAGCCCAACAATATGTTTGATTAATGTGAGAAAAATCAAAACTATAATAATTAATGGAAAAAGCTTGTGCGTGCTTTAGGTTTACGATGAATGGAACGTTTGAAAGCTTGAGATCGTTTTATAATTATTGAAACCGCAATCAAAAATGGATGAACGAAAAACCAAGATAAAAAAAAATGGTTTCTTTAATATAAATTGAATTCCCCTCGTAAATACTTTTCATATTACACACTATGAGTGTACTCGGCGCTGTATCATGAGTATTTCTGTTGTTTTTGTTGTTGCATACATGTAAATAAAGTCCTATAACATTTTTATTATAAATATATGTACTATATGTACTTAACATAAAACATTTCTCTTTCTGTATAGATCTCACTTGGTTCTCATCATCAACATCATTATGCATAATTGATAACCCATTATTTTTTGGACGATGTCGTCGTCGCTGCTGCAGTTGAACTTTTCACGAAATCAATCGAGGCCGAGTTGATGCAGAAGCGTCGATGCTTCGGTGGAGGTCCGTCATCAAACACATGACCCATATGGGCCGAGCACTTGGAGCAGCGCACCTCGGTGCGAACCATCCCTAACGTTTTTGAAATGACTACTGTTGTTTTAATCATATTATATTATGTTAGTTTTTGCAATTGTTTTCAATGTCAATTTCATAATTTGAGAAAGTTTCGGTTTTGGTTAGCAAAATAGATGGTGGATAAAAGAATATAATACTCAATTAGGTAAGAATTAGTTAATGCTATTCAAAATTTGGATATAGTTGCACATTCATCCAACAGGACAGAATCACAAGTAACGGCACAAACAGTTTGACACTTAAGCAGCTCAACACTACAGTGAACACATGGATATAACACACGCAAAAATGTAGATGTATATGTATGTAAATTGTAACATTCTAACAGTCTAAACATATTGTTTTTTTTTTCAGGAACAACAATAAACGTAACAGATATTAATTTTGGGGTTTTAACATACGTTTCGATTTCGGCGTCTCTAACTATATACACTTTTTTTTCTATATATGGCATACTCTTTTGTAAATATTTTATTTCTTGGGTGCTCAACTTAAACTCAATTAAAAATTGTTTGCAGTCAAAGTTCTTGTTGCGAAGCGACAAACAAATCAAATTAAATAAAAACTGTACAAAATAAAAATCAAATGCAAAACATTGAAAAGTGCTGAACGTATCTAAGCTAAATAGAAATCGAAATCGCAAATGCACTATATGTTGATATATAGCGCACATACCTGGTATACTGGCATCGCGATGCAATGTGACTTTGCCCTTATCGAGCACATCATTGAAAGCTGGCCAGCCGCAGCCCGAATCGTACTTGGTATCCGAGCTAAACAGATCCTGATGACAGACAATGCATCGATATACGCCCTTCTCGTAGTGCTTGTTATAACAGCCTTGAAAATACAGAAAGACATGGTTTAGAGCCAGGTTTATGTAATTAGTGTCAAGTTTATTCAAGCACACCTGTGAAGGGGCGCTCAGTGCCCGCCTCTTGTGTAACCTGATACTGCAGCGGCGTTAGACGTTTCCGCAGCTCCTCCTTGTTTACGGTAATCTTTTCACTTTTATTCTCCATGTTTGCTTGAAATGTGTTGGAATTTGTGTTCTTGTTGTTGGCGTTGCCGTTGCCCTCACCGTTGTTGTCGCTGCTTTGACGTGAATCTGCAATTTAAGTCGAATCCGTATATTTAAGCTTGCGGTTAACGTTTTTTCTTTCGCAACAATTGAGCAATTTGTATCAGTTTACCATGACAATGTATGTATGTATAGTAGGTAGCTTCAAGTGTTGTTGCCCTAGCAAATTACTACTTAAATAAAAAAAAATGTTTGCTCAACTACCAATTTTTAGTTTGCATTTACACATCTTGAGAAAGTGGATTTAGATAAGCAGTAATCAAGGCAAATACAATACTCCCTCGTTCTTTAGCACTTGCATCATATACATCTCATATACATACATACATCGTCATATTCAAATCYATCTTATGATCTTTTGTGCGATTGCTCCCTATTCTTTTTCATTCGCTCTTCAGCTTTGATACTCTTACTCCTTCGCTCTTTATACGATTATAATTGTGTTCTTTTGAAAATCAAGCAAATAGCGATTATTTTACTATCCCTCACTAACTTATCAGTAGATTCGACGACAAAACCTTACAGTGGATCATAAATTATAGAGCACAGACTCGCCGGGCAAATGATAAGAAAGTTAATTACCCCCCTATCAGCAATGATATGCATGAAATAGTTGTGGAAAACAACTTGAAGCTCATAAAAATAAAGCAATGTTGCTGCAAGCCAAAGCCAACCGCGCAATTTGTATACACAATGCATGCATTAACAAGATATAAACAAAATGCCCGCGACTATAGGCCGTTATACAAAATTGAGGAAAATGGAAGGTGTGAACAAATTTGTTGGGTCTTTGGAAACTGCATCGCTACAAATTGAGTGAAGAAACGCATAGGTTAAAAATAATTTTATGCTTCGCACTTAAATTAAGTGGCGCCCAATATAAACATAAAAAAAAACCTATACACGAAATGTAGGAAAATTGGGGGCGTTTTTTGTTAAATTTTTCTTTGATTTGAAAAAGGAAAACCCACTGAAGTGTGTCGCGCACAATTTCAAACGATAAATTCATTTTGAAAAAGAAAACAAATGCGAATTGTTGATCGAATAAAATGAATCAGTGTGCGTCTAAAAATAGCAACTAAATTGACAGCTATAAAGTGTGCAAGGTATTAATGTCAGCAATTCGAACTAGAAAATTGAACTGTAATTGGAAATTCGCCAATGGGCTGGCCGCATAAAAATCAATTTAATTGCGTTTCACTATAAATCACATCTATTGTATTATGCAGAGCCCGATTCGAATCGGTCCAACTAATAAAAAGCTACTCCGCTATGCCCCTGCCACGCCCACCCAGCCCATCCCATCCTCTCGGTGTCGGACTCACCCGCAAAGGCACGCACGTATGGTAGTGCAGAGACAGCAACAACTCCGCTCTTCAAGTGATTCAAGTTGTACCTAGGCTGTTTGTTAGCAATAAGTGCGAAATTTCGTGCCCACGGTGCGTAGCGAGAAAGTGAAAACATTTTTCGAACGCCTCCAATTGACAACCGAAAGTCCGTATAACGAATAACGTATAACAGCCACGCGCGATTGCAGTTTGCACTTGGCACTGATGGGTTATTTAATCACATGTGAAAAAAAAACAACTGGGAAAAGTCAATGTGAGTGTTGCTCTCACACCCACATACACACACTAACTAAACCAATATTTATGCAATTTTTCTCACTTCCGTGTTTATATTATTTTTTTTGGCATTCTATTTCTACGTATGCACGCTTGTATGTGTGTGTAAGTCTATGTGTGCACACAAACAGGGAGAGAAAGCGTACTAGAGAGAAAGCCAAGTTAATGCTTGCAGCTTGCTCAATATCACACAGTTGCTTACAAAAAGAAAATAAATGCATTCATTTTCTAGCTGATAGAATTTTTCATAACCAGATAATTTAAAACCCCAATTTATCAATAATAATTCCTAATACGCCAGGCGCAAGGCAAACTAAAAACACACACACAATATATATTGAAACGTCGGTGTCCTTGAAGGGGCGCTGCGTCTAGGCCAGGAAAACGCTCACCTGCAAATATGTATATAATTTGGTGTTGCTTATATTGCTATTTTTAACTTTTGTTTATAATGTTTGCAGTCGTTGTGGTCAGCGCCCAATTTGCGTCTATTAGCCACAACTGCTATGTTTTCACAGCAACGGAAAATGAAAAACTAAAAAGCTACAAAACAGCTGCCTAAGAAAGTTGGCAAAGCTACCAGACAAAATCACAAAGCAAACAGCTGGTGTACCGCGTTGCCAACGATTATAATTTTAATTTTGGTCTGTCTGGTAGCACTGCAGATACATTTGTTTTGTTGGCTGCACGTATAGTTGTAATCTCTTGTAACTTTGTTAATTTTTCTCGCTAATATTAAAAGAAAAAAGTATTAATTCGATGTTTAATTAATGGCAAATAATCGGTGTAGATAGTTATAAGACGCGATGTGAAAATCGGGATTTGAAAACGAACCAGCAGCCACCACACGCAAAGAGGGCGTCAACAAAGGGCGGAAGAGCACAAAGAAGAAGAAACTAAAAAAAAAAAAAGAAAAATCAAATTCGACGCCTAACGAATATTTGTATTACTTGTTAGTAGTAGTTGTGATAACTACGTTGCCATGAGTAACCACAGATACCATCACGGCGGCGGCAGCTACATGCATGCACGAATGTCGTATCCACATCACTTTACATACGTTTCCAGTTGTGTGAAATACCTTATCTTTTTGCTAAACTTTTTGTTTTGGCTATTCGGTGGGCTGCTCTTAGCGATTGGCGTTTACGCATTTATGGATAAGTTGAAGGATGGCATTGGCTGGGTTCGATTGGAAACTATTTACGACGTTATCTTCAATATATCTTTAGTGATGATCATAGCGGGCATTGTCATATTTGTGGTCAGCTTTGCTGGTTGTTTAGGTGCTCTACGAGAGAATACTTGCCTTTTGAAATTCTACTCGATGTGCTTACTGATCTTCTTCCTTATGGAAATGGCTATTGGTGGGCACGAGCTATTTATTTGTTCATCGTTAGTAAACCTTAATTAATTGTGATCTGTTTACAGCCATAATTTGCTTTGTATTCCCACAAAACATGAACTCATTTCTAGAGTTCCAATTTACTGATAAGATTATCCACTCTTACCGTGATGACTCCGACTTACAGAACTTTATAGACTTTGCGCAACAGGAGTTTAAGTGCTGTGGTCTAAGTAATGCTGGCTACCAGGATTGGAGTAAGTAGAAATTTGAAGTTTAAACCTCAGAAATTCTTTAACGCTGTAATCTTCTAGGCAAAAATGAATACTTTAACTGCTCGTCGCCATCAGTAGAGAAGTGTGGTGTACCGTACAGCTGTTGCATCAATGCTACGGATATTAGCTCGGGTCTAGTCAACATCATGTGCGGCTATGGTGTGCAGGAGCACTCGGTGGCTGCAGCTAGCAAACGGATATGGACCAGCGGCTGCATTGAAATCGTTCGTGTCTGGGCAGAAAGGAATCTGTATGTGATTGCAGGAGTTGCTTTGGGAATTGCGTTCTTGCAGCTCTTTGTAATTTACCTGGCTAAAACTCTCGAGGGTCAGATCGATATGCAGAAATCGCGTTGGTCGTGAGTGCCATAGCACCCGGTTTTCTACGGGTATCCTTTCGATGATTTCTACTACTATGACACTCAAATGTAAGCAGAGGGCAGCAAAGTAAACGGCCAGGCCGTGTCTGTGTCACTCTTGCCTATCCATTCTTCGTCAATCGTCAGTTTATCTGGTCCGTGCAATGCTCAAATATTTGTTCACAATCAAACATTATGTATACAATTTTACACTTCTGAAGCTTTTTGCATTTCGAATATTATTGCCCTTCATTGCCATTTTCTTTGTTCTCAATGACTCGATATTATACTCCGAATACTAGCCCTTATATCTTAATCGTGTATACCTACATAAATAATCATAGAGAAATAATTGTATTACCAAATGCCACATTTGAGATGAGCATTGCCCATTTAATGCATGTTTATATGTAAGTATTTTAAATGGCTTATCGAGCATAGACAAAATTATAAGGAAATTTTGATATTTCAACGCAATATTTATATGTTCTCGTTATCATAAAAATTAAAGACATAATGTACATAGATGTTAAGAGGGGTGTATGCATTTACTGTATGGCATTCGAACTAAAATTATATGCCAATTTCAAATTGCATGCGCATTTATGTATGTATTGTATACCCAACACAATTAGTATTAGTATAAATATTATATACCTTATTGTATTGTAGTAGTACACTATTCAAAAATACTTATCTTAAAATATTAAACAAATATATGTGTATACAAATGACAGATTCTAGATCTCTGATTATTTGTTTTGATTACGTTACTAGTATAGTAAATAATTTATTAAATATTTGAAGCCACCCTTAAGACTTTTACTTTAATTATAAGTAATAACTTTCAATATTTCTAAATGCGTAGGAATTTTAAAGTCAACAGATTGGTTCATATATATGTATTTATTTTTGCTAAATCATCCATCTATATTATGAATACACATATTTTTTATTTCATCATTTGATGAAATTATATGCCAAGGCTGAAGATAATTCTAGCACTATGAAGATTACATTACCTAATTCAAGGTGACCAGATAAGACTTTGTCTCTTTTTAAACTAGCTTTTCTTGAAGCTTCAATTAACTCATTCCATTGAAGTATTTTGATAACGTGCACTGGGCATTTTCTTTATTATCTCTTATGACAGAGCAAGTAAAAATATGCATATATATTGAACAACTTTTAGTAGTTAATAATGCTGCGAATGCTTTCGCCACTGTGCATCAAATCGAAAGCTTCGTTGATTTTAGTTAGCGGCATTTCATGCGTGATGAACTCATCCACAAGTAGATCTCTCTTTAGGTAGGCCTCCACTAGTTTGGGTACATCCGAAACGGAGCGCCAGCCACCAAACGCAGAGCCCTTCCACACACGACCCACAACCAACTGGAATGGTCGAGTGGAAATCTCCTGGCCTGCACCGGCCACACCTATCACCACAGATGTGCCCCAGCCCTTATGCGTGGCTTCGAGAGCAGCGCGCATGGTATTTACGTTGCCAATGCACTCAAAGGTGTAATCAAAGCCGCCATCGGTCAAATCAATCAAATAGTTCTGAATAGGGCCCTTGTCAGCCACATCTTTGGGATTCACAAAGTCAGTGAAGCCGAACTGCTTTGCAAATTCGAATTTAGATGGATTGATGTCAATGCCATAGACCTTGCTCGCGCCAGCCTTTTTGCAGCCGAGTCCAACAGCTAAACCTACGGCACCCAGTCCCCAAACGGCACAAGTGGTGCCTGGTTCTACCTGTATATAAAACAATGCTTGAGCTGAATATATAATATCATTTACTGACTTACCTTAGCAGTATTGAGAGCCGCACCATACCCGGTGGAAATGCCACAGCCCAGAAGACACACCTTGTTCAGCGGCGCAGTTTCATTGACTTTGGTTAATGAAATATCAGCAACTACAGTGTACTCCGAGAATGTGGAGGTGCCCATGAAATGGAATAGCTGCTTGCCTTTGCAAGTGAACCGAGTTGTACCATCGGGCATTACGCCAGCTCCCTGGGTGACTCGAATCTTCTGGCAAAGATTGGTTTTGCCGCTCAAGCAGAACTTACAATCATTGCATTGAGGAATGTATAGTGCAATAACATGGTCGCCGGCCTTAAAGTTGGTCACGCCCTCTCCTACGCTTTCCACAATGCCAGCGCCCTCGTGGCCCAGCACAGAGGGGAAAAGGCCTTCAGGATCCGCGCCACTCAATGTGAAAGCATCTGTGTGGCACACACCTGTTGCCGTAAGCTTAATGCGAACCTATAAAGTGCATACATATGTATGTATAACTGTAATAGTTAGACTTTGGTATCGTTCTCGACATACTTCATGGGCCTTCGGGGGGGCCACTTCGATATCTTCGATAACAAGCGGCTTTTTGGCCTCCCAAGCAACAGCAGCTTTGCACTTGATAACCTAGAAGGAAATATACACACTTGTGTTTTACTTAATTAAGTTATTTATTTTATACACACTTTTCCTTCAGTAGCGGACATTTTGTTCTAGCTATCTTTTTAATGGAAAAAACCCAGAACGACTGAACCAGAGCAGAAGCGGAATAGCGAATGTTAGAGATGTGAACAAACGCCAGCTATATGCTGTTTCCTCGAGGTTTTTCTCTCTCTTTCTTTTGTCGGTCATTGTGAATAATTAATATTGGTGGACCAAACTAGTAGACATGACATAAGCGCTGGAACAAATATGTATTCAGAAACTGTTCTGCAATAATTTTAACCCATTTGCTATTATTAATTGATACTTTGCTAAGCTTTGGCGCCATACATGGCAAGCCACTAAATATGTAAATTTATTAAACAAATATATTATTAAAAATTTTATAATACCCGCTTCCGCTTATATATATTTAATATAGATTTCTGTGTATTTTATACAACAGCCATGATTATTAACCGGAATTATTAAATTACATATAAATATTTGTTTTTTTTTGTTTTTTTCTTGTCAAGTATGTTATCGATGTACGGTAGACTTTGACGGCGAAATTAAATATCGGGTGAATTGCCAAATAAATTGAAAATAACGTTTTTGGTTTAAATTCAAATTGAGTGCTTCACTATTTACCTTTAAAAATTAAAATAAATTATATGATTAATGTAATTTTTAGTAAAAGTGATCGCGCTTTTGATTTCAAGATGTTAGTTAGCTTGTTTTTTACTTTATTGCTTAACAGCTGTTTGATTGCATTTTAAAACAAGTTGATGCGCCTGCGTAAGCTTGCTGTAAACATTATTCGCCCAACCCAAAAAGGCGGCAACGTCAAGGAACGCCAAATCAGCACAAGGACACCGATTTTGTATGAAAAATCAATAATTACATAGCTACTGAGACGCACAGCCGGAAGTGCATTTTTATGCTTGTAAAGTTAACTGCAGCGAATAAAAAACTAATTTTATTGCATAGATGGTACTAAAAAGATGTAGATTGTGAAAACACATAAATTCATATATTGCTCGAGTACAAAATGGTTGGTAAAGGCGCGTTGAGCGCAGATGTGACAACAACAAAGGAACGCCCTGTTTTCATTCCACCACGAAAACGTCAACAAAACAAAGCCGAGGCTAAAAAGCAAAACTATGTGGATCACATAGTTAATGTGCAGGTATGTTCAATTATTATTGCTATCAGTTTTAACAATAAAATGTATGTATATATTGTATTTCTATACATATCGTATCTTAAAAAATATATGTATATATTTTCAGCAAAACCGAACTAAGCTCTCGCCCTCGAACACAGGTCTCGAGGAAGACTTGCTCAAGACAAAATTAATAATCAAAAATAAACAGCCACTGCCTCAGCTACCCGGTGAACAGGGTGACACAATCGCCAGCACCAACTCAGCCAGTTCCACTCAACAGAGCAATAAATCAGCACGCTCAGCCAACAATCTGAATGAGCTGCAGAATTTTGAGTCCATTTCGCAGGGCACCAAGTCCACATCACAGCGCCATGAGAGCAGCACCGTAACACCTAGCAGCTGTTGCTATTCAGAGAGCAGCCTGGATGCCAAGCTGAGCAAATCGCAGGACTGTCTCAGTCTGAGCAATCGTTCATCGTCGAAGAAGCGAGTTAATATACGCACATCCGACTTGCCACATGTGCGTAGCGGACGAGCTACACCGGACATAGCCAACTATGAGGATCTGGAGTCGGGCGAAACCAGTGTGCTGAACACCTATGACCAGAGTCTAGAACGTTATCAGACACGCAAGTCGGGAGTCGATGGAAGTAACTATTTAACTATGACAGGTGGGTACAAAGATATTTCAGTTCATTGCACTCGAGTTCATCGTCATTATCTCTGTTTAGGCACCATTAAGAGGGGTCGCAAGAAAGGTCAGTCCATAGATCTGCAGATAAACATCAGCCGGGAGGAACTGGAACAGCTTAATGCCCATGCCATGGCGACTGAGTCGCACAAGGGTCAGAATCTCTGCTGCACTTGCAGCTGTGGTGTTGGTCTACACATCTTTCTCATCTCGCTAATATGTTTACCCTTTGTGACTATCATTTCGGCTGCTTACTCATTTTACATCGGCACTTTGACCTGGTATAATATGTTCAACTACTACTGCGAGGAGAAGTCGTATTTGCATAAGATCTTCGTCACGCCCATACTCTTTCTGGCCTATCCATTGGCTATTGTCCTCTGCACTTTTGGCCTGGGCTTGTATTCGGGATTTAAGCAGTTGAGTCTGCAATACAGCAGCTGGGTGAATGACATAACCGATATTGAGAAGGGTTTCTATGGCTGGTTGTGCGGCTTCTTACACATGTCCGATTGCAGTCCCTACGAGGTGGTCATCCTGACTGATATATGCGTGGCTCCACAGGACCCCCAGCGGTTACACATTAATAAGCCCAGGCAGGAATTATCCATGTAAAACCAAAGAATCGAAAAAAATGTTATTAACAAAAAGCAGCGCAAACCGTCAAATCCAATAAAAGTTCTGGGTGCATCCATAAATCAATTTGGGTTAGGTTGTAGTCATCTAGTTAGCTTTATCTCTTAACATATATATGATTTATGATTTTATTATATTTTCTATATATTTATATACACAGTATAAAACAAATTGAACAGCAAGCACCGCAGTAGCCAACAGCATATCGAAATACTTTTTGTGACGGTTTCGATTTTCGACCATATGTGTGATAAACGTAATTAGAAACATAAAAACAAAAACATCAGTTACTCAAATCTATATCTATATCAACAAAACTAAAACTAAAGTTCGATGCATTTAGTTCCATTTTGGCCAAATTTGTTCCTTTCATAGCTTTCTACTGCAAGTACACACAAATACATACATACAAATACTATCCAATTTATAGAATCTAGACATTAAGTTCCTTTTATTCGAAATCCACATATACATAAATATATAATCAAATAGTCATATATATTCAATGTCAAAATTTAGCGTTTTTTGTTGATTTCCTTTCAATGTTTAAGTCAAGGCCAAATTTTAAGAACATATATACTCCAGAGATTACAATTGCATTTACAAATATTTGCATTTATATTGAACCAAAGCGAATCTGCGTAGTAGCTATAAAGCATTTTCTTAAGCATAAGCAAGCAACTTTTTTAGTCTTAAGTACCAAAAAATACAGCCAATAGTAGAGGCTAACATATAAATAAATTTGAATGATATGCGATATAAGCAAATGTTTTAAAATAGACATTCTAAAATGTAAGTGGTATACTTAATAAAAAAGCAGCTAACTGCGTGGCGCTGAATATTATATACCCTGTCAGACATATTGAATATCTCCCATGAGTCGTGAACGATCTTGGATCTTTACGTTAATTTAAATTAATGGACAAAAAGTTTTTATAAAAAAAAAAAAAAAACTATTTTAAGTGCAATGATTTTTGTATTTATTGAGTCTAGTTAAGATATATAAATTATTAACAACTTTTTCCTTAGAACAACAGCTTGGTTCTCGACAGATCGTTTCTATGACAGATTTATGATATAGGAAAGCGATCTAGCCGATTATGCAATATATGTTGCCTGCAACAATCTGGAATATGATCTGATCAGTTTCGAAGACTGTTATGCATTGAAACGATATGTTGATCATGAATATATACGTACATATACAAATAAAGAGACGTTCCCATTAAAGTGTTGTCCATGCTCTGTGACGAAATCAAAATACTTTTTGCGGCAGCCAGTGGAAAAATATACTTGCATTATATATTACAATTACTTAATTAGTTTGAGAAATAAAGAAAACAAAAACTATAATTGAGAATAATTTGACCCACTTGTTATCAATTTTTGTTATCATTGTATTATATTGTATTATACCTTATTAATTTTAATTACTTTTAATCTGTTCGCCGCACCTCGTTCGTATAAGGTAAATATTGTATGAAATGATAAGCTATACTCTTTAAGCCAATATAGCCCTTCACATTATGAAATGAGAATAATAAACAATAATATACATACATATGTATGTATATGTAGATGCACAACACACATGCCCACATAAATATCAATATGTGTACCTAAATGCTGTACACATTGGATGAAGGGAGACAGGAATATATCAGCCGGCAATTTCAAGCACAAACAAAAACAGGAAAGCTCAGTGAATAAACTAAAAACAAGTGGGCGAATTGCATCAATAAACAGCTGTTCAAGAGCGCAGATAGTAAGTTGAATGCGAGTATTTTCTGAATTAATTCTAATACTATAAACAAATACAAAGAAAATGAATTATTATTTTATTATTCGCATAATATAATGTCTGCTTACTTATAAATTAACATTTACTTTTTTTTTTCTATAAGTATCTTTCTCGCGTGTTCAGAGAGAGAGAGAGAGAGAGAGAGAGAGAGAGAGTGAGAGACTCTCTAGTAGAGCCAACTTTTTTATTGAGCATAGCGACCAGCTATTTAATACATTAGTTTAGTATCAATTGGGCGTTTAATACGTGCGGACCATATGCGCTTGCAAGTAAATACGTTTGTATTCGTAACAGTAAAAGTAAATAGTTAAACTACAGAATGGCACAGGATAATCTGACTGCAGTTTTGCACGGAATAAACGATTTGCGATTGGTATGAAAATAATTGATGATATAATACAAATAAAAAGTAATACATTTTATATGCAGGAACAACGTCCGATCCCGGAAATATCAGATGAGGGTAAGCCATTAATATCAACAACTATCGAGCGCCCGCAGAATCGAGCTGTCGATAAATCGATATTAATTTAAAATAATTTTATACAGAGGTGCTAATCGCAATGGACAGCGTTGGGATCTGTGGATCAGATGTTCATTATTTAACTAAAGGTCGCATCGGCCACTTTGTGGTGACCAAGCCCATGGTAATTGGCCACGAAAGCGCAGGTGTGGTTGCCAAGGTGGGCAGCAAAGTTAAGAATCTGGCTGTAGGAGATCGAGTTGCCATTGAGCCGGGAGTTCCTTGCTACAAATGCGATCATTGCAAGCAAGGCAGCTACAATCTGTGTCCTGACATGGCATTCTGTGCCACGCCCCCGTATGATGGTAACCTGACCCGATACTATAAGCACGCAGCGGACTTTTGCTTTAAATTGCCTGATCATGTCACCATGGAGGAAGCTGCTCTACTAGAACCGTTGTCCGTGGGAGTACNTAGTAGAGCCAACTTTTTTATTGAGCATAGCGACCAGCTATTTAATACATTAGTTTAGTATCAATTGGGCGTTTAATACGTGCGGACCATATGCGCTTGCAAGTAAATACGTTTGTATTCGTAACAGTAAAAGTAAATAGTTAAACTACAGAATGGCACAGGATAATCTGACTGCAGTTTTGCACGGAATAAACGATTTGCGATTGGTATGAAAATAATTGATGATATAATACAAATAAAAAGTAATACATTTTATATGCAGGAACAACGTCCGATCCCGGAAATATCAGATGAGGGTAAGCCATTAATATCAACAACTATCGAGCGCCCGCAGAATCGAGCTGTCGATAAATCGATATTAATTTAAAATAATTTTATACAGAGGTGCTAATCGCAATGGACAGCGTTGGGATCTGTGGATCAGATGTTCATTATTTAACTAAAGGTCGCATCGGCCACTTTGTGGTGACCAAGCCCATGGTAATTGGCCACGAAAGCGCAGGTGTGGTTGCCAAGGTGGGCAGCAAAGTTAAGAATCTGGCTGTAGGAGATCGAGTTGCCATTGAGCCGGGAGTTCCTTGCTACAAATGCGATCATTGCAAGCAAGGCAGCTACAATCTGTGTCCTGACATGGCATTCTGTGCCACGCCCCCGTATGATGGTAACCTGACCCGATACTATAAGCACGCAGCGGACTTTTGCTTTAAATTGCCTGATCATGTCACCATGGAGGAAGCTGCTCTACTAGAACCGTTGTCCGTGGGAGTACATGCTTGCCGCCGTGCTGGTGTGGGCTTAGGCTCCAAGGTGCTTATCCTTGGTGCAGGTCCCATCGGACTGGTTACGTTACTGGTAAGCAAATGTGCATTAATTTTGTCAATTTAACTAATTCGTTTTATTTATAGGTAGCACAATCTTTGGGAGCCACGGAGATTCTGATTACGGATTTAGTGCAGCAACGTCTGGATGTTGCCAAAGAGTTGGGCGCCACACATACACTGCTGTTAAATAAAGAAGATGCCGCGGAAGACATCGCTGATCGTGTGCGTCAATTGATGAGTGCTGAACCCGATAAGGCAATCGACTGCTGCGGAGCAGAGAGCAGCACGCGACTGGCAATCTTTGTAAGAGCTTCTAGTGCGATATGATGTATGCTCCATTTATCTGATTTTGTCATATATTGCAGGCTACACGATCTGGCGGTGTTGTTGTTATTGTTGGCATGGGACCGCCTGAAATGAAGCTGCCCCTGTTCAATGCCTTGGCTCGAGAGGTAGACATTCGCGGTGTCTTCCGTTACTGCAATGAGTGAGTGGAAACCTAAGTTATTATCTAAATGTACAACTTACGAAATTCTTTGTCATTGTAGCTATGCCGCTGCTTTGGCACTGGTGGCCTCTGGAAGAGTGAATGTAAAGCGTCTTGTAACACATCATTTTGATATTACAGAGACTCAAAAAGCATTCGAAACAGCTCGGGACGGCTTAGGTGGCGCCATTAAAGTTATGATACATGTACAAGCTAGAAATACAAATAATCCAGTTGTATTTTAGCTTGCCATGAAACGTAACATCATTATTCAAAATATATTATTTCGACAAACACAACGTTTATAATTGAATGAAAATTTTAGTTTTTATCTTATTCTGGTTATATTGTTTTTTGGCACAAAATCAATATATATATATATAAACATATACATATATTGGAGTAGTTCAGCCGTTATAAGCGAAATGGATAGCTGCCGACTGTTGCGGAATCTGTTAAGCTGTTTAACCAGAAAATACAGCGGCTTTGGCTCTTTGTCTCCAATGATTCGACACTTGCACGGAGTAGGGGTGGATCTCGATGATTTGATCAAGGAACGCATGCGCAAACAATTGCTTACTGATTGGCATACAACAAATGAGGAAAGGCAAATGAATGTGGCTAGTGAGCCGACGACACAGGCAGCCAGCTTAGAGAAGGTTCTCAAACAGGATCTAGATATGGATCGGCAGAACAAAATCAAAAGCAATTATGTCGTTACATTAAAAAAATCAAATACGATTGCAAGCGAAACAGCCTATAAAATAAATGGAATTATTTCAGTTATTAAGAGTGGCACGGCACCCGTGAATTATAGGTACCGGGAAAAGTCCGTGGAGAATCTGCCTACTGCAAGGTCTACTAAGGTGTAGAAATCCTATCCTATGTGTGCACAATCTTAACTAATTGAATAAAAGGATTACAAAGATGATTGATTTTCTAATAAATTTGTTATTTATGTAACATTTTGACATATTAGACAATTAAATAAATGTGACCATACGTATTGTGTATGTATGAATGTGTTGTATGGTCAGTGGTAGTATGAAAAAAAAAAAAACCCATCGTACTCGATCTTACGAAGAGTCGAGTATTTGTCTTTGGGCCAGATTTTTACTTGTACAATTAAAAAACTCTATTAAATATCTGACTCCTCCTCCGTAACATCGGCTAAAGAAAAGTAGTTTGTAGTAGTTTATATAAGTCGTTCATTGTAAAATCTAATTTTTTAGTCCGCTTTTTTGTGTGCGCCAATATTTTATGATGCCTCCAAAAATCGTATGTTGATTCTACGGAAGAATCGCTGTCCTTTTCAGGACTGGAGGTAACATATGGATATGATATTAGTAAATTAATTGATTTCGCACAAGCTAAATTATCTTCAAAATGGATATTTGTGAATATCGGATCCAGTAAACAAGAAATTGCAATTAAATGTGTTTTTTTTTTTCAATCATTTAATCATTTAATCATTTCTTTTTTTACCGCATGTATGACTGTCATAACATCGACGCGTCGACCGCTCCTATAGCCACAGGTGCATCATTAATGTGCGTCTTCGGGCAATTCTAGAGCTGAGAGTGGTAGAGGGATAGTGCTTTAACAATAAATATTGAGAAACAATAGGCGATAGCCTAATAAATCTCTGGAGCATAAATAAACGGAATTCCAACTTGTCTTTACATCCAAAATCTGTTTCGGAGGTTGAGACGAGCTTGCTTTTCTTGTAACGCATCGCTGGTAGTTGCACTGCACTTGAAGAATTTTACAATGTCTCGCACTTTGCATATTAATAAATTAGTCTTCAACTTACATTACCGACTCAGTGATGAGACTGATTGTATGGGCAAAGCAAGGATCTTTAGCTTAGGCTATAGTTTTATATTTCAGTTCAAGATATTTCCTAATAAATTCCTAATAGTGCTCCGGCACATTGATATCAAATCTTGTCGTTAATTCCATTATACTTTTGAACCACAGGGCCAATAGTCAAAGAGAAAAAGTGATTCTCTTCAACCCAAACATCCTAAAGCTCTTCCCAGCAATGACCACTAGGAAACGTCGTGAGAAGGGAGGACTAACGGATCTACATAGCACATATGTATACCCCTAGACTACATACCTTGCCACCTTTATTCAAATTTCAGTATGCCTTTCATCTAGAGCAATGCTGACTATGCAGCGCGACATAAGACTATCATTACGCAAATAATGAGCAGTAACTCCTAAACAACTGGTAAAAGCCATAATTTCGCTCCAAACATCACATGTTAGTGTTTTGAATTTTGCAATGCATTATAATATTATAGTATAAAAATCCACTCCCTTCAACGATATCTAGCGATCTTTTGTCGGCGTAAGTAAAGTAATGCAACCTGAGTTCTGAATTATCTTCTCTGCCATCCGAATACGAAAATTTGCGTTCCATTCATTGTATTATAGACTGTTGTATTTTTTTCAGGTGGCTCGCATATATTTTCCACATCGCTGTCTGATTCGGTATGAGCTTCTACAAATTTTTCCACTGCAGATGTTTTCGATGAACTTGTTGATGGTTGCTGCTTAGTTCATGTCTTGATGGACTCAGCAGATCTAGATCTCTTGTAAATTTTTATTTTTTTTCCTAATCTTATTTACACTAATAAAATATAAAACGTAACATAATTTTTTTGTGCACATACTTCAGGCAATAATAAATATAGTGATATATATCATCATAAACAAATCAATCACTCCCACACTCGAAGACGTGACAAGATCACATTAAATCCTTTTTATGTCGACCAACGGTCAGCATAATCCAAAGTCCAAGCAACAAAAGCTCAAAACCAGACCTATAAAACATCCCCAAAATCTTGCATAGGCAGTTCAGTTGTAATCCAGTTGCGTTCGTAAATTATTCTTGTGTTATTTATAAGGAAATCAATTGTACTCCGTTATGGGAAATAAAAATTATTTTTTGTAATTAACCTACAATGAAAAACTTATTATTATAAGTATCTGAGATAGTTTAGTATTAATATTAGTCAACTAAAATGAAGTATGTGTCATCTAGTTATCACTGTTTGTTAAATTATTCGAATGAATAACAGCAATGACAGATAGATGGCGCGGTGCAATGGAAGTAGTGGCGATCCCTAAATATCTCTAGTGCTCCACACAGTGGCAGCGCCAGTGGTACCGCTGTAGAAAATGAATAAACCCATCATTTGAGCGCGGAATGGAATTCAATATAATCTTAATTTAATTGTATCTGTCTTACCAAAAAGTCGGATGAAAGGTATACATATGTCTCTCATGACCTTTTCTAGTCTCTAAATTAAAGATCATCGCAACACAGGCATGCTTAACATTAATCAATTATTTTCACTTCGTAAGCAAGTGAACGAATTTTCACACATATTCTACACTTGTTATATACATACATACATATGTATGTATGCATGTTCGTACTTAATAAATTCCATAGGCACACACATCAAACGAAACCTTGTGAACTGATTATGGAAAATTGGAAGTAAGTTGTTGATAAGCACAGCGAACTTTTATTGAAAACAAATTTTGCATTAGATTCGAATCAGCGTTCAAGCTGTGCGGACTTTTTCTCTCAAACAAATATTTTACTTAATATTTTATAATAGAAAGCCAAAATGGCAAAGGATAACCTAACGGCTGTTTTACATGGCATTGAGGACATGCGTTTGGTAGGAAAAATTCAAAATACATAATAATAATTATAAATATAAATGTTTTATTTTGCTCACGCCATAAACAGGAACAGCGTCCTATACCGAATATTTCCCCAGAAGGTAAAGATTGTTTTATTGATTTTCAAATAAATTGATTTTCAAATAAATCTGATTCACAGAGGTTTTAATCGCAATGGATAGCGTTGGGATCTGTGGATCAGATGTTCATTATTTAACTAAAGGTCGTATCGGCCACTTTGTGGTGACCAAGCCCATGGTAATTGGCCACGAAAGCGCAGGTGTGGTTGCCAAGGTGGGCAGCAAAGTTAAGAATCTGGCTGTAGGAGATCGAGTTGCCATTGAGCCGGGAGTTCCTTGCTACAAATGCGATCATTGCAAGCAAGGCAGCTACAATCTGTGTCCCGATATGGTATTCTGTGCCACACCCCCTTACGATGGTAACCTGACCCGATACTATAAGCACGCAGCGGACTTTTGCTTTAAGTTGCCTGATCATGTCACCATGGAGGAGGGTGCGTTACTAGAACCTCTATCCGTGGGAGT